TGTCTGTCTCTGCTGATCCTGGCAGAGGACTGGAAGTTCACGCTTTGCAGTAGTTGAATCACGAAGGTAATGAACTTGAGTCCACCAGGAATACTGAACATAGGTATGGGGCAAAACCTGCATATTGAGCAATGAGACTTCCCAGTCTTCTCTCCCTACTTGGCGCTGGAGATGGCTGACAACTGGTACCATAGGCGGAAAAGCAGTTTCTCTCAGGGAAACTGATCTGGCAGGAGAAAAGCCCCATAGATGCTGACATTTGATACATGTCTCCACAGAATGCCTGGGTCCAAACATCAGCCTTCTAAATGAGGACCGTCAGTCAACAAGCTCTGCCTTGTCACAAAAGAACATCCAGTCAGCTTTTCAGTACTTCTGTCTTCAATATGAATGAACAATGGGCAGATGAGGAAATCCTCTAACACAAAAGATGAAGACTAAAACAATCAAAAAGAAAAAAAGGAACAGCTAGATAAGAGGCCCATTGCAGGACCAGCAGAAGAAAAGTTAAAGAGATTTCCTTAGGGAGAGAAAAGATGGTGAATCTATGACCCAAGAATAGGCTGATATGGAAAAAGAACATTTAGAGAATAAGAAACATATCTTACAAAAAAAAAAAAAAAAGGCAGAAACAAAATTCGTAGAAAGGTTGACCTACAAGGTGGAGGAAATTTTACGGAAAGTAGAATAACATGCCAAAGAGATGGAAACTGGGAGAGAAAAAGATTAAACACTTATTAGAGAATGTTTAGAAGTCCAACATCTATTTAATAGAAGCTCTAGAGAGAACAGAGAAAACTGAAGAATCACCAAAGGTATAGGACAAAGAAATTTCCCAACTATAGGGCAGATGGCAGACTGAAAGGGCCCATTGAGTCCCTTATATAATAATGAAAAAAGACTAAATCAGGGCAAATCTTCAAGATATTCCAGAAGAACTGGGTAAGAAGTTCCAGAAACTTCCAGAGAGAAAATAAAGGAATCAGAATGCCATTGGTTTTTTCAACATCAACTCTGGAAACTAGAAGACAATACAGTGATACCTTTAAAATTATGAAGGAAAGTGATCTCTAACCTAGAATTCCATGTCCCACCAAACAATTGAGTGGAAAGATAAATTAAAAATGTTTCCAACACACAAGGCCTCCAAGAATGTGTAATCCTGTCTCCAGAATATATTGAAGATGTACTCTACTAAAATGATGGGAAAAAAAGGAAAGAGGACAATATGGGATTCAGGAAACAAGAGATCTGCATAGGAAATGATCCCCAGGATGTTAGGGAAACATAATCCTAGGATGATCACAGAGCCATGAGTCTTAAAATCAGTCCAGACCACACAGCAGGGGATGGAGATCTCCAGGAGAGACATCACCAAGAAAAAGAGAAATAGAACTGATAGAGTACCTGATGTGACTAATTGCACCAAGAGGAGGAAAGTTTAGGTTTCAATTTGTGACTGGTATATAGAGTATGATGCAATGATTTTTAAAACGCCAAGTTTTAACTGAAAAGGAAAGAGAAACAATTGTGTAACAAGAAAAAAGTTCTAAAAAAATGCAATCTTAGTACACTGCATGCCTCAGTGGTGCATTAACATTTATTTTATTAAATAGACATTTAATGTTTATAGCATTAATAAACATTAAATGTTTAATAAAATTATGATATAAATATATCAGGAGTTTAGGAGTAAGAAAAGTGTATGTGTAGTTAGTATAAGAGGGTTAAATTTTCTTTTTCTGTATTAGAAAGTCAACAAAGTGTGTCTAAAAATGAAGAAATCAAGAAGTAGAATAACTGATAAAGGCATTAAAATATATATGAAGGGCACCTGGGTTGAGAGTTTGACTCTTAATTTCAGCTCCAGTAATGATCTCGTAGTTTGTGGGATCGAGCCCAGCTTTGGGTTCTGTGCTGACGTTGCTGAGCCTGCTTGGGATTCTCTCTCCCTCTCTCTCGCACCCCCCCCCCC